CGCCTTCTTTATCTGTTAGGACATGATCACATTCTGTATTCATAACATAATCTTTTAAAATTTTTTTATTGGGATTTGAACTTTCATAAAATTCCTTTTCAAGATTTAGTATTTCTGTGTATGTATCACCCCCTCTTTTTGTCCCTGAGAGCTATTATAGTTTTTTCTTGTTTGCCTAGCTTTTTCTAGTCCCAAGAAGAATTTTGTGTTTTTTTCTCCTTCTTCTACCCATTTAATTCTAGATCTTATTTGTGCTCCTTTTGTTTTAGAATCATATAGTTTACCAAGTTTTTCTTCTATAATATTAATTTCCTCTTTAAAAGAGTTAATAACATCCTTTTTACATTTTTTGTTTGTACCCTCATTTAATTTCTTCAATTTGTTTTCTAAAATATGTATTTCTTTTACATTATTTTGTGCTTTTCTTTTGCAGAATGCTATGGTGTGGTCTCTAACCTCGGTTTAGTCTTATTTCAGGACATGTTAAGAAAAAATCTATTCTAGATGCTTCATTTAAATTATTTTTACGTCGCCAAGTAAATTGTATTTCCCTACCATGAAGCTCTCTCCAAATATCACTTAGTTTTGGGGTTTTAATTAAAGATTTAAGGCTAAATACTGGTTTTGTTTGTTTTGATTTTTGTGTTGACATTTTTTTTTTTTATCTATTTTTGTTAAAGTGTCATTCATATCTCCTCCAATTATAACAATTCCTAAACTATTTTTTGTAACTACTTCTTTAACTTTTTTGAAAAAAATATTTCTTTTTTTTTAGGTATATTTGGTGCATAGACATTTACTAAGGTGTAAATACTGTCTTCAATTTCAACATTTATTAAGAGTAGCCTGCCCTTTTGGTCTTTGAACATATATATAAATTTGCATTTTAAATCGTTATTAATAAAAAATTGAAACTCCTCTGGACTATGAGGTTCCAAAGCTATGATATTGTTGACCTTTCTCTAAATCTTCAGTGAAATGGCTTTCCTGAACAAACAAAATATTACATTTTTGATATTTCATCCACAAATATAATCTATGTCTTTTATCTTTTACTCTGAGACCTTGACAATTTAAAGAACATATATGAATTGTTTTTGTCATAAGTTTTTTGTTTGTGTTAATATAATATATTTATTTGAATGTTTATTGAGCCTACCCAACAAAATTCTTGTATTCTCCTAGTTCTGATTATTCTTTTAAATGTATACACATATTTCAATAATATACAATATTCATTTTGCATTAATACACAAGTTAAAAATAATATAAACCAGAGATTTTCTAATGAATTTGTTACAGAACATTTGATTAAAATCAAATACACATTATCAGAGACATATGTGTCTCCAACATTATTAGGTATATTACATTGTGATGCTGTGCAAAACATAATGCTGTGACACGTCAATTTCAATATTGTAAACAATTGATTTCTTTCATTTCGTAACACCTGTTGTTTTCTATTTTTAGACACCAGACAACGTAGCTGAAGAAACAATAGTAATTGGATCTTATCGTGTAAATTTTGGAATAGTGATTTCGTAAAACTTGGTGTTCTATTAATGGAAATTGAGCTCTGCGTATAAAGAATTGACATGCTTTGAACAGGAAAAAGTAAAAGGATGTAATAGCATATTACTGAACAAAAGGAAAATAGACAATGACAATTGTGCGAATAAAACGGATAAAACGATGTGAGCTTTTTTGGGTAATAAATTGTAGAGTTCAATATCTGGAACATAAACAAGATTTTACCTGTTGGACACAGAATAGGTACTATTAATAGATTTATTTTTTCCAAGATTTCTGTTCTCTTTTTCTTGGGAATAATTGTTATAAAATGTTCAAATTTCTGTATAATTATTATATTTTCTTTTCTATTAAAAAAAATACTGTACAAACTGCAATTGTTTTGTATTAGATTAATATAATTATAATTAAAGTATTTTAAATTGACATACTTTTGTATTCTCTTATACATCATTTTGTTTGTTTCAGATTTGACTGATTTATTTTCATACAAATTTGAATGTATGTAATCCTTAATTACATCACACTCATTTTTATTTTTATTTTTTTTTGTTATATAAAATCAAGCTAAATATTACAATTATATACAAATATTTACACTTCTAGTTCATTGTTGATTTATTGTGTTAGGTTTATTGGTTTGGTTACATTTCCGTTTACAGCTGGCCCTAAGTTTTAGTCTTTTGAATAGGGACAGCTTCTTTGTGTTTGATTTCTGTTGGCGTGTTGGCATTTCTCTTTTTCTATTTTTTTTTGGCGGCCGGGGTATTGGTATTTTCTGTCTGTCCCTTGAAATATTGTTCAATATTCCCACCGGGTTCTGTATTTTTTTTCTTCTTTTTATGTTTTTGCTTTTTTTTTCAACATTTTCTCCATCATTCACTATTTCTTGATCGCACTGTATTTTATCTTGTAAATGGTTATCATCTGATTGGGCGTTTTCTTTAGCATGGATATTACCAAGGACATCACCTGAGTTGGAAGGCTAAAGTGAGTCATGAGCAGGCGGGACTTCAGTGTCTTCTGTGTCGGCATCATTGGCATCTGATTCATCTTCACTAGAGGGGTTGAAAGTGTTTAAATCTTCAGGACAGTCGGCCTGCCTGTGACCAGGTTGTTTGCATTGTAGGCATATCCAATCGTTAGGACATTGCATAGCCTTATGTCCTGTCTGTAAACACTTTCTGCATACTAATTTGTGACCTTCTGAAGTATTTTGATTAGCATGCAAGACTGTAGCAAAATATTTGCATATTAGCATAGATCTTGGCAGGGGTTCGCTGACAGGATCACACATCACAATTCTATCCCCTGTTTGACAATTAGTCAGCTCACCATCTACACGAAGGCGTTCTCGATACGATTTGTGCACAATGCACCCATGGTATTCTAATGCGCATTCAATTTGTCCATCATCAGCTGAACAGGGTACATTTTTGACACGTATTTTTAAATGATTTGGATTTTCATTTACCATGACTCTAGGGTTGTCATAGATTTTAACGAACGTAATCAATGCATCACTGGTAAATTATTCAGTCAGGGATTTTGTTATCATAAATTACGTAAAACTTTTACTAAATTCTTTCATAGATACAAAGATTTGATTAGTAAATTTGGCTGTACCTGTAGAAAACTGATTTAAAACGGTATTTCACATCCTAAATTTTACGGTAATATTGTACTTAAAAAGGGAAATCACTATGTGATCCGTGTAAACTCATCGAACCTTTAAACAAACTTATTAGTAAAGGTTATCTTACCAATGTTGTAAATAGATCTTTAAATATAGTTTACATTGGCGCTAATATCGATTTCGTCGTCAGCAAATTAAAACATAAAAACATAACTAAATTTGTATTTTTTTCAAACGGGATGTATAAAGACACACCCACGTTCATTTTGATCCATAAAGAGGTTAACTCCTAACTATCCAACTGCCTGTCGATACATTTATTTTTGGCATTGAACAAGTCATGTCTTCTTTGACTGTCCATGACGTTAAAATACTAAATCCCTGAGATGTATTTTAGTTGATTTAAGTCTCTGATGCATGATTTTTTATTATTAATTGTTTTTGGCTTTTAACTAGCTGTCAGTAACTGCGAGTACTCTCAAACTGTCCTTTCTTGTTTATTTGACCTGTTGATACTAATTGTAATGCTTTTTTATTTTTACTTATTCAGGGTTATATGTGGTCTATATACCAGCTTTGATAAGTGTTTGATATTACTATAAATTTTCACTTCTTCGTACTATGAACATCAAAATTATTTATTTTGTAAAAATATTTCCTTTCTCCATTTGAATTGTACACGTATACCTAACAACAAAATTATTTTCATTTACCTGTGTTTAAAGTTATTGCAAATGGCTGATATTTGTGTTCAAGCATATTGTTTTTCTTAAATTGTTTAACATTTTACAGCGCTATAACATCATGAACATGTTACTTAAATTATTCTTCCCTTAGTTTATTTATTTTTTTATTTACATTGTATCATAGATCAAATTTATTTGTTCATTGAATGTTCACGGGTGTTAATATGTCTTTTGATTGAGTTAAGCCATTTCAATTGATATCTTATAGTGTGTCTTTCTATGTTGTGATGTTACACTATTCTTTCAGATAAGGGTGAAGGTTTGGTACCATTAAAACGTATAAACCCGCTGCAATTGTTTGCACCTGTCCTAAGTCAGGAATCTGATGTTCAGTAGTTGTCGTTTTTTGATGTGGTTCATAAGTGTTTCTCGTTTTTTATATAGATTAGACCGTTTCCCGTTTGAATGGTTTTACACTAGTAATTTTTGGGGCCCTTTATAGCTTGCTGTTCGGTGTGTGCCAAGGCTCCGAGTTGAAGACCGTACTTTGACATATAATCGTTTACTTTTATAAATTTTGACTTGGTTGGAGAGTTGTCTCATTGGCACTCATACCACATCTTCTAATATCTATTAACATCCTAGGTTTTAACTAAAAGCAGAACAGTACCATTTAAATAAGGCCAACAAAGCATTATTTGGGGTCATTATAGATAACACCAGCAACCCAATATTCATGATGGCTTGGAGTTTTTATGAACACTTTATTTGACTCTATAATCATCGATCAAAGACAATAATTGACACGACACCTCAGAACACAAAAAGACCATATTACAACGAGTGAAGAAAAAATAACATCAGCTATATTTTTCAAATTTATTTCTCATTGAACTCGTTTATGTCTAGTATTACATTCAACAAATGGGTTTGAATGTGAAGATAAAGTCTAAATTATAGTTCTATTGATATGAAAAGTGCTTATAATTTTAAAATTAAAAGTTTGAAAACTAGTCATAATACACACAAAAGATAAGGTTAAATCATAACTACATTCATACAGGTTTTTGGTTTAACAATAGATTTATTTCCGTGTCATTTAAAAATTACAATCACGTGACTGTGAATACTTCAAACTAGTAACGATCAGATAACATTTCTAACAGGTATTGATTTATGACTGGTTTTAAATTATTCAACGCACAATAACATCCATTTAAATCTTATACACATAGACATACCTGCTGCCTTAAATAGATCCCAGTAATATTTATCAACCATAGTAAGTATATATTTTTATTGATCTAACATACATCTAACCAATGTTATCAGTTCTATTATGTACAAAAAGATACCTCATCCTTATTTGTGTTGTTTGTTTATCAATGGATATATAATTTTGTCCATGATTATAAATGAAGAGGCATGTAAGTAAATAAACAGAAGTATACCGCTGTTCAATGGTCATAATTCGATTAAGCAAAAACAAATCCGGGTGACAAACTAAAACCGAGGGAAACACATCAATTCTAAAAGGAAAACAACGGAACAACAAAAACACTGAACTACAACAAAAGCAAACACCAACATACATAGAAACGGACTGTAGATAACAACTGCCATATTCCTGACTTAGTACAGGATATTTTAAGAAAAAATGGTGGGTTGAACCTGGTTTTGTAGCTAGCCAAACCTCCCGCTTATATGGCAATGTTAAAAATACCGCTAAAATGACAACACTGCGTGACATGAATACAGTACAAACAAACGCAAGAACAATCAGCACAGAGAAATACATAATATAATAGTACATTACAACACATAAAGCATTTTATTTTAAATATAATATTTCCGGGTTAAACGGTAGTTTAAAGAACCTCAAACAGGATAAGACATTGGTTGTCGAAAAAGGTTATAATATCTGCTATGTTAAAACCCACACATACATTTAAAAAATCATATAATTTTTTAAAATTTGAAGATACTGAAAGTAGGCTAACGCCACCTACATACAAAGTTATACCGCTTTGTATCCTAATAAAACTTTATTTTTGAAACGTCACAAGTAGAATAACAACGCATTAACCCTTTTTCTTGTTCAAATTGGTAGGTATCAAAGTTCTACTATTACATGTATTATACTTCAGGAAAACATCTATTGTTTTTTAATACCAAGAAGAATATCATGTGTCAAATATGGACCTTGTAATAAGAAAACAACTAGGTTTTTAAAGAATGTATATTTTAGGCTGATGTGTTAAAGGTTTTTCAAATATTATTTCTTCAAGGCTTTATGAAATTTATTGGGTTACAGGCGGAAACCCAGTTAAAATTAAACAATAGAAATGAAACTCTTTGTTAGAAAAGGTAAAAAGGCCAAGTTGGTAATTTTGAATTGTTTACATCTGTTTCTATGGACTTTAAAATTTTAAAGAATGTGCATAATTTAGGATTTTATGTATCTTATGTATGTGTTTTACTTAATTTATGGTATAGAGCTTCAAGATATTTATAAACTTTTAAATTATAGACACATTTTAACAAAACAGTCGATTGGGGTAGGTGCAAATACATGTGGATCTTTTTTATGCATAAGCATAATTTCCGTCGAAAAAAAATCCAAAGAAAGATAGAAGATTGATCTTTGTAAAGCATTAATTTGCATCTCTGCCCCTGGCGACACTTTGTCGAAAAAATCCTAAAAATGGGCAATAATTTAATCGAAAAGATAAAGTCGAGTACACCTTTTTATGTTCAGGTGTGTTTGAGTTGACTATTCTGTCTTGAAAACGTATAAAAGAAAATTATTTTATACATCATCTCGCTTCAGATACTATTTTTTGTATTTTATATATATATATATTTAGGCTATATGATGATATAATAACATTAACAACTTACAAATGTACAGTACTAAGAAATGAAATATATGGGTCAAGTGGAATATCTTTTTAATGAGTCATAACAACAGAGTAGGTGTGTTCGAAGTACAAATTTTTACTAAAAGTACTTGACGACAGACTTTACAAGAGGATCTTAAAAATGCATAACTTCAAAAACACTTCATTTTGTTTGTGTTTTATCTAGGGTAATTAGTTCTCAACTTGTGAATATTTTTTAAACTGCCCTTCCACACAATATCTAATTAGAATTTTTAAATGGTTTTGAACTTTCGAAAATTCCCCATGACAACCGATCAGACAAAAGTGTTAAGTTGACCAAATGCATAAAAGTACATTAAATGATGCACAATAAAAAGTAGATACATTTGTCTATTAAGATACAACTGGCATATAAGGTTCGTAATGATGCTATGTGGATAAACTGATCGGGGTTCAAGAGCTAATTTGACAGCGCGTCATCACTACAATGGCTTCCATTTTTACGATTATAAAAATTAGGTGGCGTAATGGGGAGATAAATTTGACGAAGTAGAATCCTGACTGGATTAATCAAGACATTTCCACAGATTTTTTTTCGGTTTCTGAATAGGACTAGATCAAATACAACATGCAATATATTATGTAAACAAACAATTTTTTTAGTGTTGGTGCGTCAGAAGCATTTTTCTGGATTAACCTTAATCAAGACGCTCAAAATTCAACAAAATTAAGCTAAAGATGTATCAATACTTCTGGTATTACTTTTGAAAAAAACTTTATGATCAGAAAAGGATCTTTACATTAATAGTAAAATCCACTTTAGGTATCCTGCATCTTATTTTATAAACTTCGTTCAATGCATCTTTTTATTTGATATGAATTCACGTATGTGTCCTAATAAACGTTGATTTTATTTTTAAAGTTAGTTTGTTAACCAACGTGTCTTATTTATAGACCATAATAAATCGTGCAAAAACGCAAACTTATTAACATAATGAAAACTATCAATTTCAACATCAGCATACTTCATCACTTTCTAATGCATATCCATTTCTCATCCAAATACTGTAGTTTACTCTACCATTAAATGAAACACAGCTTTAATATAGTCATATTACATTGCATAGTCTGTTTGTAATGTATGACCTTAACATATGTTATTTACATGTAACTAAATACTTATATTAGATATTAGGTACAAAGTGTACTGATACAACATAAAGTAAATAACTGATATGTATAGATTATTACATGGCATTTTTCATATCAGACCCTTTATCGGCCCTAGGTCATGATATCAGCACAAGAGCCGCAGGCTCGAGGGCTGATATCATGAACGAGGGCCGATAAAGGGTCTGATATGATAAATGACATGTAATTATCTTTTTATCATATACTTCAACAGAAGAAATACAGACAAGAACTATTAATTAAAATTTTGTCTTTCCATGAATTTTTAGATAATAATTTACAGACAACCAAATACAAATGTCTTAACTTTTATTGTTTTTATTGATATTACAATCATTTTATTTATCTTGTCACAACAATTAACATGTTCTTAGTTTGAAATTTGCTCCTCAACCATTTTGTGAAAAGTCTTAAATCACTTGCGGTTTTCCGCACTGTGTTGTCGTTTTCGAACAAATTTCCGGAAATGCACGAAGTTGCATGTGATAAACGTCACGGAAATTAACGGAAAGGCATGTGATAACATTCCGGAAGCAGTCAATAAAGGTTCCTTTATCAGCCCGCTGAGGAAATTCTTAGGAATCTGGTCAATAAACCTAGTAATCCTTTCATAGCCTTTTAATATTTTTAAATGTTATTGAACAGTAAAATTTTAGTAATATTTTATACAAGTATATGATAAGTAATGCATATTTGCTGCAGGGTTTTACGAAGGTAATAAATATAGAACAATTATTCAGACTGTATAATTTGCTAATATGCCTAAAATATATTTGTTTATGAAACATCATTAATGTGAATACAATAATACAAATGTACACACGATTGAAAGATATACACACTTTTCAGAAGATCAAATACTAATTACAACATGTACAAGGAAGAAAATTATTCTCACTTTCTTGTCTAAAATGTAATGATGGAAATCGATAGTGAGTGCGTCCAGTGAAGCGTTGATGAACAAGAGAGCAATAATTCCACATTTACAACGGACAGTATTATTATAAGTGATGATTTAAGATCAAAAGTCTAGCGTAGTGGCAAATCGGAAGGTTTTCCAGTTTCAAATAATAACAGTAGGATACATTATGTTCAAAATAAATGTGCTGGTCCGGATATACCGACCATACTTCAACCACAAGAAACAGTGATAAACAGTAATATGGAAAACTTTGAACAAGCAAATAACTTACTTGAAAAGAAACAACAAGTACTGTTCTCACAAAGACAACATGGAGGCAGAAATGAAAGCAGAAGTAATAGTAATAGACATGCAAAGTTTAGATCATATTCGAAATACAATATTCGGGAACAATCTTTTATTGGCTGGACATCAGACTGTGTTTTACCTATATGGATGTTTGCTAAGGCAGGTTTCTTTTACAAAGGTAAATATAAATTTAACTTATTGAAGATCTATACAGTAGTGTGACCATTTTTCTGTATTTCATTGGTATAAACAACAATTACAATTCAATATTGTTGATTTTGTTTTTGTGCAATGTTCGTTTTTTTTTAATTCTTTACTTAACTGTGTAGTGTTTTGTAATTTATGTTTGTCTTTCCGTCGTTTTTCTTTAAGGCTAATGGGTTTTTATTGGCCTAAGTCACTGATAGCTTGTGAATGCCATCACCTTTCTTTTTTCTTTTTCTTTTTAAAACGAAACAGATATAGGTAGATATAACAAAATTCACTATTAAGGTTTTCCTTTAGGCGAGTGGCGAGTGCAGTTGTTTTTACTTATTAAGGTAAAGATAAGTGAAAGTATCCATAGGCTACATTTGGGCACACATTTGCATGTGAATAGAAGGAAAATTCAACAAATATCAGAAGAATGCTCATATAATATGCTTTTAAAAAATAAGAACCGAAAATTGGGTACTCTTTCTCTAACTGCATAAACATCATAGGTAAACATTTTGTAAATAACATTTCTAATATAAATATCAATATGGCTTATCTCCCCTGATATATATCAGTTGTTCGAATTTTAAATCTATGAAAAAGACGTAATCAAAAGATAAAATTAGCAATTTGTTTTGTTTTTATTTACATAACGGTCCATACAAATGAATCCTTTTGTTGAAGCTATTAGAAATCTAAAATCAATTAAGAGCCCCGATCTACCTTAAACCTTAAGAATTAAGAATTTTCAGATGTTCAAAGGCATTTGTCTCCCATCAATTCTTTTAACATTTTGTTTTTCATTTGGGGTAATGGGTAATTTATGCAGATCGTCATTTTATTTGTCAATTTTCCTAACTTTTATAGACAATTAGTCGATTAAGACCTTGACATATTCATAATATTGTGATGACATCTCTGTCATGTTACTATCTAGATGTCTTTAGATTTCCTTGGTTGTTTCGTCGTTTGGTTCCGGTATGTCGTACATATCCTTTCATTACATCTCCTAGCTATGCTTTGTCTCGTTAAAAAGAATGGACAACGTAGATTCAAGTATCTTATCTAAGGGAGGGAAAAGTCGTACGTTGTAAAAATTCACTCTGCTTCAATTAAAAATTTTCTATGAAACTGACATTGTTTTTTTCTGCTTTGTATCGATCTGATAAGGTAAACCCTTTGGAAAATAACTAAAACTCCTCTCTGTAATATATGTAATGTCATTGAAGATTATGGTCATTACTTTCTGACATGCAAATATCTAAAATCATTTTGGGATCAAATAAAACTAATACTAGACAAACTTAAAATAGGACATCATATAATATCACTGGCATCACTTTTGTATGGATATAAGATAAACGATACAAATTATTACAATATCAACGATTTTCTAACAATCATACTTTTTACTATATATAAAGTGTATTACATATCCGAGCAGAAAACAAAACAAATTAATGTGTTTGAAATTTTTAAAAGTAAACTTCTCATACATTACGAAATATTGACAAATAAACAAGGCAAATATAAAAACTTCTACAATTTGGTTTCTAGAAAAAATTAATTTATCTTCTTAACTAAGATTGATAATATATCATAGTAATTTCTTTTTATTCTGTTACACATTATTTATTAGCAAAACTGTATGTTGTGTACTAACAAGTACCAACCTTATGAAATGCTATATACTAACGTCAACGAGACCGGGATAAGGTACCGGTACTTTATGTATCTCTAACAAATGTACATTTCAAAAAAAATTATATAGAATTTAAAAAAAAAAAAAAAAAAAAAAAAAAAAAAAAAAAATTCAGATGTTCAAAAGGCATTTGTCTCCCATCAATTCTTTTAACATTTTGTTTTTCATTTGGGGTAATGCGTTATTTATGCAGATCGTCATTTTATTTGTCAATTTTATTCCTAACTCTTATAGACAATTAGTCGATTAAGACCTTGACATATTCATAATATTGTGATGACATCTGTGTCATGTTACTATCTAGATGTCTTTTGATTTCCTTGGTTGTTTTGTCGTTTGGTTCCGGTATGTCGTTCATATCCTTTCATTACATCTCCTAGCTATGCTTTGTCTTGTGAAAAAGAATGGACAACGTAGATTCAAGTATCTTATCTATGGGAGAGAAAAGTCGTACGTTGTAAAAATTCACTCTGCTTCAATTAAAAATTTTCTATGAAACTGACATTGTTTTTTTCTGCTTTGTATCGATCTGATAAGTTAAACCCTTTTCAACTGATTTTTATAGTTTGTTCATATGTTGTGCTGTTACGGTTTGGTGGCGCAAACATGGTTTATACCGCCACATTTTGTGTGTGTCTGTCCAAAGGCAGGAGCCTGTAATTCAGTAGTTATCGTTTGTTGGTGTATATCATATTTGCTTTTATTTCATTGTTTTGTACATAAACTAGGCCGCTTGTTTTCTCGTTAGAATTGTTTTACATTTTTTTTTCGGGGCCTTTTATAGCGGTATGGGTTTTGCAAATAGTTGAAGGCCGTACGGTAAACTATAGTTATTAACTTATATGTCATTTAGTCCCTGGTGGAGAGTTGTCTCGTTGGCCATCATTCCATCTTCTTATTTTTATATTATCAAGATGTTTGAATTCTTGACTGACAACATATTTGTTACGTTATTTGTTGAGGACGTTTTTCCCAACAAACAATCGAAATTCCCATGGGTACTCCTCTACTTGCCGACTTGTTTCTTCATTCATATGAGGCTGACTTTATAAAGGAGCTTCTTATGAAGAATGAAAAAACCTAGCATTATCATTTAAGTTCACGTTCCGCTTAATAGATGATGTACTTTCATAATATATTTCAAAGCTTGGTGACTATGTTGAACGCATCTATCCAATCGAAATTAAAATAAAGGATACAACAGATGCAGTTAAGTCTGCCTCATATCTTGATTTACATCAAGAATTGACAATGAGGTCAGTTGAGAACAAAACTTCACGACAAAAGAGATGAGTTCAGATTCCCAATTGTGAAGTATCCATTTCAATGTAGCAACATTCCAGCAGCACATGCATATGAAGTATATATCCCCAGTTGGTACGATATACCAGGGCTTGCATTTTTTCTTTGGTAGTAGGTTGCTGCTTACAGTGACGCTACTGAACAAAGAGTTTCAAGTGTAGAGTTGAAACATCCCTTTGAAAATACTACGGACGCCACAACGAGTTGTTTGACCGCTATGGAATATCTGTTTAACAGATGACGACGGATATGTTCCAACCGTTGTAACAACAATCCGGACCACTTTTCCTCAAACGTGATCTATCGAATTCGACTTATCACCGGGTTTGTAATTACATAATCAACACATCGGGTGCCATATGTAGAGCAGAATCCATTTACTCTTCCAGAGCACCTGATATAACACCCGGAATTTGTTTGGGTTCGTGTTATTCAGTCTTTAGTTTTCTATGCCATAGCGTTGTCAGTTGTCAGATTGTTTTTGACTGAGTTTGAATATCACTTTGGTATCTTTCGTCTCTCTTTTTCATTGCTATCTTGTGTTCGTTATTCTTTGTCTTTGTACCTCTATTTTAACCATTATCAAGAGACGTTTATCCTCCCGATGAATTCTGAACAGCAATACTAGTCGTATCTTATAGGTATTAGATTATGTGTAAGATGAATTTTGTTAATGATTGGAAGATATTTACTTTACCTTCAAACTTTATAATCAGTTTCAATGTATATGGCAAAGTTGTTTTATATGACATATGAACACGTCATAGCATTTAAGCTACATGTATTTTCAAATAAAATAAAACAATTCAAGAAAATTATTAATGTCGAATCTAAACACTTTTAAGAAAATACAAAACAGAAGGACTTAAAGTACAATTACTGCAATTGACTAAACAAGTATTTCAATCAGTGAAAATAGGTAGGAGAACAATAAGTCATGTCATCTAAAGTTGAAACGTGTTTTACGTGCACAGGTTTTGCTGACATTGTGGCTTGTTTTGAGTGTGGTATAATACATCGAAGATGGCAAAAGGATGATGATCCTGTCAAAAAACATATTCTGCTGCAACCAGAATGTCCGTATATAATGAATTTTATAGAAGAAGGCATACAATCCTGTGAACAGCTCCAGAGATTCGGAAGCAACAGTTGTGGTGAGGTAAGTTACTAGTTCCGAGTGCCCTACAATTGAACACATGGCGATCTTAGAAAATAATTTGGAAAGGCCTTTTTGTCTAACATCTTCAATTTAGAAATATCTAGAAAAGCAAACAACTTAATTATGGCAAACTTCTTGAACAGAATATAAGATATACTGTATGAGTGGATTAAAAGCTACAAAACATGGTTATCCATCATAATGTAAAATTAGACAAAGATTATTGACTTGGCAATTGATATCATTTACATACTTGGAGGGATATTAGGAGGTCCGGAAAGGTAAATATTTTCTACCTAAAAATTATAATTGTTTAACTTCATGCTGGTTCAAAAAAAGTAAAATCAAAGGATAAATCCGCATTTGTGATACGCAGTTAAGCCTGATAGAAAAATTTCTACAATCAAACGTTTATAAGTTACTTTGCACCGTTTTTAATATCTCAATTTTCCTCCGTCAAGAACGTTACTGAAGTAGGTTGTGAATTTTAAAAAGCTGAAACATTCAAATGAGAAAGTATAGTAATGGAACGTAATGGAAAGAACTGCTTCTGTACAGCCGTTGCCTATATAATACAAGCCTGATATAGCATAATATAAAAACAACAGAACATTTTCATATATTTATATTAGAAAGAAACAAAACGTTGTAATGGGTACATTAGTTTTAGTGTTTCGGGAGAAGCTTTTCTTATCCTAGAAAAAAAACCGTACAATATAAACATGGTGACTTATTCCATTTTAGAATATCGAAATGAGTGGTAAGTGATATATATATATATATATATTTTACTGCTATTATTCTTTTAACAATATTATTAGAAAGAAAAACGTTATTTTAATGCAATTCGTTTAGAACGATAATTTTCATTAGACGTTGACAAATATTTTGAAGTGTAAGATTCCAAGTTCTACTAGTCCGTAACCAAGGAAAGCCACCATTATGAATTCCGATTATTTTTAGTATGTACTTTCTCCAAAAATAAATAAAAAAGTCACATGTTGTGACTCCAAATCTTCTTTTTGTCAATATTTAATCCATTCGGAAGCGTACGAAAAGTAAACATACGTCTAGTGTTTACGCTACGAGTCGCTATGTCAATTTTCGACAGAAAAATCTACGTTTTACGAAGACCAAGCTTAAAATACAATACAGATACCTGCTAGTCTACAGTATTTTAATTGTGTACAGAAATAAGTTATCTACATATTGCAGATTTTTTTTTCATATAAGACCAAGGATCAGAATAACATAAGGGATCAATACAACAAAATGAAAAGTCTTTGTTTTAAATATTGGTTATATTTTTTGTTGAAATGAGTATTGGTTTTTTCATTACATTTAAATATTTTTGATAATCTTTCTTGTCTTCATTCTGTTATTTTAGATGAATTTGTTTTGCTTTTAAACAATACGTTGTTAACACCTCAAAGGAAGAGTGTCAGAGTAGATTAGAACAGATTACAGCAAGATCCCTTGCTAGAATAAAATAGCTACCAAAAATTGTTTCGACTGTCAAAAATCGCGCGTTGTAAGATCCTATATTTTTCTGCTTGCTATTATCATTTTAACATTATACATGTTGAAGTCTCATTTGTTAGTACGAAATATTATTAAAAACAGCTAAATTCAAATGTGAAACCACAGTACTAAGTACAGAACATTGAGCAAGGAATTGTTTTGAAAATAAAACTATTCCCTCAGGTATAAAGCCAAATACCAATCTCGAGTTTTTTTGTTTTTTTTTATTAATGACTAACCCGAACATAGAAAATGTACGGAATAATGAACGCACTTGAAAGGCGTCTATATTATAAGAGTGAGTAATATACATTATTTTATTTCTTCAGATGTTTCTGAACGAACAAATAACGTTGCAACTGCGTATTCATCTTCGAGTTCATCAACAAATTCAAGACTACAGTGCAAAGTTTGCCTGATAAATCCACTGCAGATTACAATCCAACCGTGTGGCCATTTTGCCATATGTGAAGCCTGTTGTTCTCGTCTTAAATATGGAAACAACAGATGTCCTATTTGCAGAGGACCAATAGACAATACCGTTCGAACATATGTCACATAGGAATATTTACATTTTATATATTCATTACTCGACAAATAGCTTTGAATTTTTTTCAACTCGTCTAACAAAAATAAAACAAATGTTTGGTGTTCCTTATATCTGCTGTGATGTAAAAAAAAAACTGTTAGCCTAAAATGTCATACAATAAAAAAAAATATTTCGGGAATATATGTATCCGAATTTACTAAGCTAAAGGACAAGGTAACAAAAAAATGCATCAATCATGTCATAAAATTAACATTAACGGACAACTGAAAAATAGGACTAACTACAAATCATTGATTTAGGGGTTTCATTTTAAGTTTCGATACCGACATACATACTACTTAACGTTTCATATGACATTCATTTATTTCTTCATTAAGGTCATCTCACTATAAATGATTTCATCATTTCACCAAACATTGGTAGCATGTTTTTTTTCATATTTGTAGTAATAAAAATAGATGTGGTGTGTGCGTCAATGTCAGAATTTACTTTGCCACGAGTCTAAATAGTTACTGTTTTGTGCTCATGGTTCTAGGTTTCAATTTCTCGTTTATATATACTCTTTAACTTGATATTTGGTTTGGGATTCAAATTGTTTTCATTCGAGCACTACTAAGAAGTCTCATGAAGACGAGACGAGAGTCTGGCGTAAAAAAACTGAAAGCCTTTAATTTTGATGAGTTTTGTCATACCTCTCCCGCTAATTAATAGGTATCCTTAAAATATCACAATACCAAGACGATTATACATGCACGAATGCAAATAACTGTAAACAAACATAAGGTGACAAATGGTTTCTGATCTTCTCAAATCATTCATCTACTACATAGTATGACATGTATGAATATCAACCGTTCAAGAAAAAAAATGAACATCAAAAGGAAAGGGTAATCACGATACATATTGTTTCTAATATCGTCACTAATTATAGGTATGAGGATAATTTGATGAGCTTTTAAACTGTTTTTATTTTTCAAGTGAAACCACAGACACAACGTTGGGTCAATCAAATCGAAATGGCGACAATAACACTTGTAACTTTGTTCGATTTCAAATGATCATCTTCATAATCTTGTTGATGTTTTTTTGTTTGTTGAAGTATGCAATCTTGGCTTTGTTTGATTCAACTTTTGTTTAACTTAGCCACACAAGGAGAGGTAACTCAGATAATCTTGTAAATGTTACAAGGACGTGTACAGTAATTTTCCTGTTCTGTTGTGTAAAACGAGTTCCGTGACCCCCATATTTTTTTTTCATTCCCTGATAGCTCTTTATAACGCTTACGACTACAATTCGTTTAAAATTCAATGATTAAGTTGTCTGCTCATTCGGATATAATGTTTTTGCCCATGTATAATCATTACAAAATTTGACAATTTTGCACAACATGTAGATTGAAGTATATCATGATATAAACTACATTGTGTTTAAAAATTTTAAAAATAGTTTTAAATTTAAATCACTAATCTACCTTAAAATATGCTGTTGTGGTAGGCTGACAACAAGACAACTATGCACCAACGACTACAGGTATCGGATGTAATATATAGGGCACTGTACAGTTTTCAACCATGAGCAAAACCAATAAGATATAATTGGCCCCGGCTACAAAAACATGATAAACAATCAAGAAAACAACCAAATGACATGACCAACATTTTAGATCATGATGTATCAGCGTAGTTATAAGAACGAACTATAACAAATACATTTGTAAGTCTAAAAAGGGTCTACTGCATTATGCATTATGCAAAACACAACGCTAACAGGAATACTAAACAGCTAGGTCTCATACACCTGCCTGTAATTCAGTGGTTGTCGTTTGTTGCTGTAAATCATATTTGTTTTTCGTTTATTGTTTTGTGCATATATCAGGCCGTTAGTTTTATCGTTTGAATTGTTTAAAATTTATCATTTCGGGACCTTTTATAGCTTACTTTAGCTTAAACATAGTTATGGGTTTAACTCATTGTTGAAGGCGGAACGATAACCTATAGCTGTTGACTTGAGCGTCATTTGGTCAGTGTTGGAGAATAGTCCCTTTGGCAATAATACCATATCATCTAATTTTTATAGGTACCAATCTAAATGTCCAGGAAGTTTCTGCAAGCATGTTCAAGCCAATTACAACTAGTAAATTAATCATATGTTCACAGTTAGTTATAATGTCCAATCATTTTTGCTATTTATTCATTTAAGAGGCAGTGCAACTAAACATCTTAGATAATATGACCATCAGGAATTTAACTTGTCGGGAAAAAGCTTCAATGTATGTATAATCCTAAATGCATTTGCGAACGCGAGAAGCGAGAGGGAGCCTGTTGGTCTTCCATTAAAATGCATGTACGCACCTTCATATATTTTTATAATGGTTGTTTCACCCAAAAAATGTTCATACTGTCAATCATACGGAGTCATTCATTTATTGTACAAATGCGTGTCTGGTGCTATAAATTTGAATCGTAAATGTTATTACTACCACTATGTCGATACCTCTGCTGGTGTACTGTTTCATGTTTCATTACAGACTTTCACATTTGATAAAATGGTTTAAAAAAACATCAGATAAACTTACTCTTTGGTAGCCTCTAAAGCAAAATGAAAAAAAAAAAAACATAAACCGAGGATCCCTTTTTATTGTAGGTTTTGGTTATCATTTATTTGAGAATGGTAACAATACAATTTTTTATTCAATACATTAAAAGAAAGAGTTTTTTTTTAAATCCAAAGACATTATTTACTTGGAATAAAATGAATAAAATGAATGAAGTTTGAAGTTGAATTTTGATGGTATTTTGAAAAAACCCGTCTCGTTAATCTTATTTTTGTTTCCGTGCTTATTCTATCAATACTCAATCTATGTAGATTAAGGGACGATCCGCCAAGTAGCCAATTCTTTGGTTGGTCATGCTCTAAAAGTTTCCAATGGTCTAAAAGTCTCCAATGCATTTGCCAACGATAGATAAAGCACTAGATCTTGTTTTATTCTACATGATTCTCTAATTACATAGGTGTCCGTATATACACGTTATATTGCTGGGTCTGTTAAATACTACATGAATTTGTTTTCCTTATATTTAATCGACTATTCTGCATTGGTCTGAATTTTACTCGAAATGACCAGACTATAGTCTAATTCATACTATACTAAACATTCTGAACTTGGACTCGACCAGTTCTTAACCAATGTAAGAGTCTAAATCATACTCGACCTAAGTCTGAACCATACACGACCAAGTATGAACCGTGCTCAACCAATTTTAAAACAAAACTAGAACAAGTCTGAACAATCTTAGACCTATTCTTAATCTATTTCTCTTTTATTTTTAATATTAAGAGTCTATATTTTAGAGTCTATTTTTTAAAAGATTGTTTTCTCTTAGCTAAAAATGTGTCCAAAAGGTAATATATAAGAAAGTGATTTATCAGATCAGTAAAAAACATGTAAACATGAGTGGTTTATTGTTCGATAGATTAAAGTTATTAATTCAAGAACGATAACGCAGAGGTTATTGGTCAAGTAAGGTTCAGACTTTGATCGAATAGTGTTCAGACCTTAAAGTCCTTTGGTCGAATATAATTGTTAAGACATTGAAAACAGGTCGATAACTGGTTAAGTATAGGTCAAGTGCAGGTTGAGTACAGGTCGAGATGTATTAATTAGATATAGGAAGATGTGGTATGAGTGCCAATGAGACAACTCTCCATCCAAGTTACAATTTATAAATGTAAACCATTATAGGTCAAGGTACGGCCTTCAACACGGAGCATTGGCTCACTTAAGACTGTTTCAGCTTATCGAGTATGAGTTCAGATAAGTGTGGTCAAGATAGGGGTCTGGGACAAGTTCAGACTGTTTAGTATGGTTCAGACTGAAGTCGAGTAAAATCGAGTAAAATTCAGACTAATTCAGAATGGTCGAAAAAAATCAATACTGTCGAGTACAAAAAGTGCCTCTTTCAGACTTTTACTGGTTTGTAGTGTATTCTATCGGCAATGAAACCGAGCATCATAATAAATATGATATTGACTCTTATAAAAGCAGTTTGAATCAGACCTTCAACATTCAGTAGATGTTTTGGAATACATACAAATTTCCTCTCCTCGTGAAATTTTATGAAATATATAACCTTTTATTCCTTTATAAAAAAAAAGACTAACAAAATGTTTCTTCATGTTAAACTTAAAACAGGTAACAAGAACAGTTAACTTTGTTTCTTACATGTGTTTAAAAAAAATATAAATAAAAATAAACTCTTTTATATTGCTACAAAAAATTCGTTGAAACCGACCAATTTCTAGTATGCCCATAAGACAGCAATTAAAATACACGAAACATAAACGTACAGTTAGACAAATGTTCCTCATCCTTAGTGAATCTTGGTGTAAGGGCCACGTAGCATTAAAATACATGCTTACAGACACAGTACCTCATAGTACATAGCTATAGCATTGTACATGTCAAACGATTTGGAAATGTGACTAAATAGGAAAATTTCAATGATAAAGGCAACAGTAGTATACCGGTGTTCAAAAGTCATAAATCGATTGAGAGAAAACAAATCCGGGTTACATATATATAAGAAGATGTGGTATGAGTGCCAATGAGACAACTCTCCATCCAAGTCATAATTTGTAAAAGTAAACCACTATAGGTCAAAGTACGCCCTTCAACACGGAGCCTTGGCCCACACCGACCAGCAAGCTATAAAGGGCCCCACAGATGACTAGTGTAAAACTATTCAAACAGGAAAACCAACGGTCTAATCTATACAAAAGACGAGAAACGAGAAACATTTATGAAACACATCAACAAACGACAACCACTGAACATCAGGTTTCTGACTTAGGACAGGTGCAAACAAATGCAGCGGGTTTAAACGTTTTAATAGGCGCCAACCTTTACCTTACCAGCAACAATAGTGTAACATCACAACACAGAAAGACACACTATAAATTATCAATTGAAATGGCTTAACTCAATCAAAAGACAAATTAACAAAAACAAATGAACATACACTGAACAAATAAATTTTATCTATGACACAATGTAAATACAAAATTAATAAAACTAGGGGGTTAGATGTAAAACAATATCAGAAAGACAACCATAACCTTGGACAAAATGCCGCCAAAGAAAATAACGTTCACAGGTAAATAAAAATAATTTTGTTGTAAGGTATACATGGAGTACGGAAATAATTTTTACAAAATAAATAATTTTGTTGTTCCTAGTGCGAGAACAAAAGTGAAAACTTATCGTCATATTAAACACTTATCAAAGGTGGTATATATTAAAAATAGTGAGACTAGATATAACACTGAATACGTAAACATTAAATAACACAAATACATTACAAATTGTATCAACAGGTCAAATTAACACGAAAGTACGATTTGAGTGTACTCGCAGTTACTAAAAGTACAAACTAAAACCGAGGGAAACACATCAACTATAATAGAAAAAACAAAGGAACAACAGGAACACTGATTTGCAACAAAAGCAAACGCCAACATACAAAGAAACGAATTATTTGATAACAACTGCCATATTCCTGACTTGGTACAGGACATCTTTAACCTTTTCTTAACAGGATCTCACATCAACATTTTTTTTACGTAAGTAGTGTTTCCTGAATATTCTCCGTATTTAGTCATAATTGCAAGACACACACATAATGTAAAAAACGCCCTCTAGTGATATTTCAAATATTATAAGCGTTCCTACGTTATGCCTGTATCACAATAATTATGAGTGGGTAAATTTGAAAAAAATAATTTATCATGTAATGAATGTTACACTAAGATAGTGATATTGATCATAATTTAAATATATTACACACTCGTTAACCTTAAGGTATCAGTTTGAACTATCGAACTGTCTAAATTAAATAGTATATATTCACTTAATCTTTGACATAGATGTATTTACCTAGGAGCTGACTTTCGTCTAAGATGGAAATCCTGAAAAATCCGAGCATACATATGTGTCTACTGTTTTTGCTGATAATAGGTATACATTTTTTTCCATTTATTTCATTGTATTTGGAATTTAATTTGATTTGTGATCAAAGTTTCAGAATGATACGTATCTGGTTTTAATGAAAAATCTCCATAATGTCTGACGTTTCATGAAGTTTTCCTTCTGCAAAATGTAATGTTACTGGTTATTCGTCATCAAAAAATATTCAACGGCGCACTTCGAAATTGTTGCGACTATTAATTACGCCGTCAAAGTCTTAATATATTCATCTTAATATCTTCTTGTAATATTTTTTTGAGAATAAAGTTGCTTTCACATACAGTGCACGAAACACGAAATAGCTTTTCTTTCCCTCCAGCACCTGTATGATTAAATGCACAGTGTTTTGGTTGTATGAATATATCTCCCGAAATTAAAGAGTTACTAGTTTTTTAAGCCAGCGTTTTACGGTGATATCATTTATAAGGCTATCAAATTTAAGAGTTGTCCCTGATAAAAATTGTTTGAATTCAATCGACTTATCGATAATGTTATTTGTAAACCGTTGATTTTCAATTATTGAGGTTTGCTATAGCTTCGATTTGCTACAAACTCAAACCCTAAAATAGTATATCAACTGTAAATTAAAATTTCGATTAAAACTAATATGGTCAATTTGTGTCATTTAGGCATCACGTATATTCACATTTTTTTGAACGCATGTTTTCTTGAAATTAAAAAAATATATTTATCATTAAATTGATTAACACAATTTTCGGAATTAAAAGAGTAAAGAAGCTCCAAAATCTAAGATACCCTTTTTGTTGTTAAAATACACACTCAAATTCTTTCACCATGTATCAGTTCAACATGATATGATATATCAACCATATTTATAATTTTTGCTTCTCTACACACCTGGGAAAAACATAATGAAGATCAGGACAACTTAAAAACAAAAACAAAAACAAAAAAACATATTGGCCTATATATCCACGTGCAGGATGAATTAGTAGGATCAGTGAGACTCTTTTTCAAAAATGAAAAAAAACCATATCGTGTCTAAAATCTTCATACATTTTATTAATATTCTTTTTATTTACAGGTTCTTCAAGATGATATCCAAGAGATTATGGTGACTTTTTAAAACTTATTTTATCTTACATTCTTAATTTCGTAGTTTTTATTACAATTTCTGAAAAATATTTTGAAACGAAATAGCCATTAAAAATCAATTCGCTATATTGTAGAATCGCAAATATAAATAAAACGATATCATACATATATTCAACTTCTGAAGCTATATGGCATTGAACTTCTTAATTGATAAATATGTGAATGATTTTAACAGATAGGTTACATAACCTGAAAAGAGTAATTCTTTAGCATTCGATTTTCAGTAATGATATACTAGAAACAACAATATGGTACACCAAATATCTTTTAAAGTTTTATTTTTAGTATTAATATTTGACATAACTTATAATGTATTATTTATTTCATTAAGATAAACACATGCATTTGTTTGTTAATTTTGTTATTTTTCATTGTATTGTAAATGAAATGATTAAAATATAATATGTTTGCAGGTGATGAGGAGAATAAAAAGCAGTTAGAGACTAGATATGCTGATGCAACGTCCGTACCTGAAGCCGAACACAATTCAATCCTCACAAGACCCGGGCAGTGAATGTCCAAAATATCATTCCTTATATCCAAGTTAGAATTGCTTACAAGTAAATTATGTATTTCAATAAACAATTATGTAGGTTTTTGCATGAAATGCTTTGGGTTTTTTTTTTGTTTTTTTTTTTGCATTATACATCTTAACAACTCTTTTCTAAAACACGAATATTGTCCTGTTGAGAATCACTACCTGACAGTATGGGAAATGTTCAAAAGTCATAAATCGTTTGAGAGAAAACAAATCCGAGTTACAAATTAAAACCGAGGGAAACACATCAACTATAAGAGGAAAACAATGGGTAAAGTGTACTCATTAGAGATACTGCATAACCAGTGACACATATTATCAATGTTTATGGGAGTGATAATTACCGTTACTATTTTGTGTGTCAATTTGTCGACAACAAAACAAACTTATGAGTTTTCTAGGAAGTCCTTACACATTACCTGTTGTATCATGATAAGTTCTATTTTTGCTCAAAAGCTGTTGCTCGAATTAGAACCATTTTTAATTTGACTCTTCCTAGATGAATCTATTCAGATTAAGATTTCCATAAGGCAACCAATAACAAGAGTCTAAATACTGATAAGCATATGTTATTACAATACTAACACTGCAATTTGCTCATTGTTTTGTTGCAATTGTAAAATATTAGTACATTTAGTATGTTGGTAAGTTTTCAGTAACAAATTACATTTGGATTTTAAAAGTGACCTACATTTGACCTTTATGTAATTCGTTGACCAAATTTTGCTTGAAACTTCTGTTGGTTGATCTCAGTCAACAATGCAAAATCAGGTTCATGTATACAGGTGTTTAGATATTTAAATATATTCATAAGTTGTTTGCCTGTGAGAGAGCTTTCACATGTTTATTACTTGGATGGAGAGTTGTCTCATTGGCACTCATACCACATCTTCTTATAATGTCCTTGAATGGTGTAAACTTCCCACTAACACCATACACCATTACACCATTCACCATACATCATTACACCATGCACCCTGTGCCATTACACCATACACGTTACACCTTTGTACCATACACCTTACACATTACACCATAATGCCATTTAATTTCAAAGAAAGCGTGCGACTACAAAATTATTTATTTATCTTAAAAAACGAATTTTAATCACAATATTGTAAATTAATGTATAAAATCAAAAATCAGTTCTTATCAATATTTTCATAGTTTTAAATGTCGTACACCATTCATTCACACCATTCCCGATCGCACGTTACACCATTACACCATTCCCTTTACACCATACACCATAGCACCATACACCTTCTACCATTGCACCATATGCCATACACCATTACACCATACACGTTTTTTTGGGGTTTACACCATCCAAGGGATGTATCTATAACATTGTCTTTTGTCGTTGTTGACCTACATTTATTACACCATGAATAATAAATATTTACAACATTAACATATATATAAACCTTATGATTAAAACTCATTTTTTTTTAACCCACCCGTTGAACCTGATAGTGAACGAAGTAACAAACGATTGCACGTTTTCCTTGACATATGACAAACAAAATGATCACAAATACTCCCATTAACTTCTTAAATAGTAGATCGGATAGACCAGCAGCGATTATCAAGTGTATCTAAAGTCTAGTTGACCTAACTAACAAAACAAAACTGTCGTTTTCCGCAACCCACAATTATGTAGAGAACAATATTACGCAGTCACAATAATATTATAATACTTATATATCTATATATGTGTGTCTTTGGTGACTTGATTGTAACAATATCACATGTACATGTACAGAACACATCGTGGAATTGACCGAAATGCTTGCCTTGTCGACGCACCCAGTCTCTCTCCTTCGCGAGTTTATAGAATCCAATCAGATACTGTTTGTTACCTTGATTTGTCTCTTCGAGTCTATTTGCGAGATTTCAGCATCGGTTATTTGTGTCGCCTAGGTCTATAAGCCTGTTATTTTTATGAGTCTTTTCCTCCTTCGCAAGTTTATAGAATACCATCAGATACTGTTTGTTACCTTGATTTGTCTCTTCCAGGTCTATTTGCGAGATTTTAGCATCCGTTATTTCTGTCGCTTAGATTTATAAGCCTGTTATTTTTATGAGTCTTTTCCTCCTTCGCAAGTTTATAGAATCCCATCAGATACTGTTTGTTACATTGATTTGTCTCTTCCAGGTCTATTTGAGAGATTTTAGCATCGGTTATTTCTGTCGCCTTGATTTATAAGCCTGTTATTTTTATGAGTATTTTCCTCCTCTGGTTTGAGTCAATAATTCAGGCAAATGTTTAAAGAGTTAATTAATTATAAGGAAACTTTAAACCAATATATACTTGCTATATTCAGATATTATGAAATATTTCAGATTTAAAGGACAACATGTACCAATCGATGTTGAAAATGACCACTTCGTACTCACCACCAACACAAGTGAATTCACATTCAAGAGATGACGATAATGTGCCTACGCACACCAATGACCTTAATCAAAATAACCCTTCCACATCAACTGCAGTGTAATTATACATTGAGCTGTGTACCAATGGAGGAACACATACATTTTTGTATTTACAAAACAATCTGTTCATTCCTGAACAAATAACATTTGTGTATTTGATAAAGATATTTAAAAGTTACTAGAACACACCCGCGAAATCGCGGGCATTAGAGCGTAATTGAAAGTATGTAAACTGTTGTAGGATGAATTTTTGTAAAAGATTTATGACTGGAGAATTTCAGGAAAGGTATCAAAAGTCATCGGTACTTGGGGATAGGACAATTTTTTTTAGCCCTCCCCCTTTTTTCCAAAGTCCGTTAATTTTTGTTTTCTGTTTTTCTGTATACTATGCACATACATATACTTTAAATAAAGTGTATTTGCTATTTACTATCAATTCCAAGTTTACTATCCACGGCGGTCACTGATATATTATATAGACTAAGAGACTATCCAAGGCGGTCAATGATATATAATATAGAGACAGTTATAGTAACATAAACTTGAAACTTTAAAGTTGAAGCACGTTGCAATATGGACACCGTTTCAATGATACACGACTGAGATACAAGAAATTAATTGAAAGAATTCCCGTGCGGATATCCTTCACTTGCCAATGTTTTAGTTTGAGTGTAATTATAAAGGGATATTCCTATTTACTATGAGTAGTTCGATAATACTGTTTACTGGTCTTGAGGATATTATCAGCTCACTAGTAAGTGCTTTGGTACTGGCACGATATATAACTTATTATTCTAAAATGTTCCAGTGACAAATTGAGAAAAAAATAATGAAACAAATGCTTTAAAGCAAAGAAGATCGTAGATAAATTAAGCAATTTTTTAAGGTCTTTTTTTTTGAAAATATTCCGGACGCCATCTCGAGTTCGCTGACAGTTATATTGTATCTGGTTCACAGATGACGACGGGTATGTTCCAATGATCATGTTTTGCTCGAATATTACCTTCCTAATTAGACTTATTACGGAGTTACTACTAACATGAGCAACACGGCGGATGTCACATGTGAATCAGGATATTGCAGAGCATATGATATCATCCCCGGTTTTTTTGTGCGGATCGAGTTGCCTAGTCTTTATTTTTCTAAGTTGTGTTTTGTATGATGTTGTTTGTGTTTAAAATGTTTTTAGTTCTAAGCCTTGGCATTGTCAGTTTTTTCTTCGACTGATAAGTTTGATGATCCCTTTGGTAAATTTCACTTTTCGCTTAGTCATATCACTCCAAATGTATATGTGTATCATTAGCTTTCAAAAGAGGGACGAAAGATACCAGAGGGACAGTCAAACTCATAGATCGAAAACAAACTGACAACGCCATGGCCAAAAATAAAAAGACAAACAGACAAACAATAGTACAGATGACACAACATAGAAAACAAAAGACTAAGCAACACGAACCCCACCAAAAACTGGGGGTGATCTCAGGTGATCCGGAAGGGTAAGCAGATCCTGCTCCACATGTGGCACGAAATGTTTTGGTTTGAACGTTCCTTAAGAAGGTAATTTAAAAAAAATGAAAAAGGGTGCTTTGAACGCAACACATCTTTAAAGTGTTCTTTGCATTTTAATAACTTTAATAATGACCAAAAACCACCAAAATCAAATGTTTTAACACATTAAATCAACATATTTACGGAAGCTTTAATTGCTCACAGACATTTCGCTGCTACCTGTTTACTTATTATTCACGGAGGTGTTTAAACAGTTAACTGCTAACTGTACCACTGTATCAATCATCAACATTTCTTCATGTCAAAGACGACAATTATTTTAGTACTTTATACATGTTAAATGCACAATGTTGGCTGATGCGAACTTACAAACTTGCCTTTACACAGAGAATTACGGAATCGAGTATGACGACAGTTTTTTTTGTCTACACCACACTTATAGAAAAGAATAGATATGGGGTATCTATCCATGACTCAACATGAATACATGTACAGCAAAATACACAACCCACGCTTTTATTGCTGTTCATGTAAGTTAACTACAAGTTAAGTGTATGTCCTCTTTGACGTCTAGATATGTAACCAAGTTTGCTATCTCCGTCACTTTCAATGGATTTCCAGAATGGGTAGGTGCACTCAACATAGAAACATCCAAGTAATTTTAATTTCAGATTTCAAAATGTTAGTGATCAATGCAAGATTGTCGTTCACTGTAATTTGAGACTTAACAGTAGCTTCCATACAAATGGAGAATGCTTTTTTTCGGGAAATGTGCTCATTCAAAGTCATTAGACATCATCAGTTTAAATGACGAAGGCAGATATTGACAATGATCAAACTAATATTTATTTTAAAGACATGAATCGATTTTGCGTTTGATGTATAATTTTCTAATGATTAATAATCATATCGAGATGGCGATAGTCGTAATCGTGTAAGAGTTTTGTCTTGAACGATGTAACAATACATGTCAATGCAATAGAATTCCAACTTGACCCATGAAAAGAAATTTTAATGAGCGCTATATAGATTATGATTGTATTATACTAAGCCTATTGTTAACTAATAATAAAAATATAGTTTCTTGTATACAATCAAATGATGGTTTTGACATTTTGTTGTCCATAAGAACACATAGAGTTTATAGTTATGTTCATCTTTGTTTGATAAAGTTATAGTTTTGTGATAAAAAAATTATTTTGACGACGTATGTGCATCGAAATAAAAATAGCTGAATATAAAACATAAAATTTCAAGTGTTCAATAAAAAACAAATGACGAGGAAGAACGCGCTATTCATGGCATACGTAATACTTCTGGCAAATATATATTCAAAAGCTTGCATATGTAATTTACGGTTAGATTGTTGTCTTCTTTTTGTTCATCTTTTTATATTGATTTAATGCCACGATGAGTCTTGTGTAATCAAAACGTCTGACGTACTCAATAATAAGAGTAAAAAGAATAACCATTGTTATTTTGTACAACCACTTGGTCGATACAGGTTGATTTTGAATGTTTCGTCCCCAAGATAGTCGTCAATGCTCTTATTATGTATCATTGAATTGTAAGTTTTGTAAATTTTATGTTCAGAAAACAATCCCAAATCATTAGAATACTAAGGTTTTTATTTGAGTGTTTATAATAGTACGTTCCTAGAAATGTGAGACAAAGGAAATTCATTAATAAAACATACAGTAATATTAATATGAATGATTCCTTTTTATACATTCCACAAAACTGATAACTCATTCAGATGGAACAATAAAAATATATTTTTTCACTAGGTCATTAGGAAGAGCTGATAACATTAACGGTGTCAAGTTTACTGATATAGATGCGCATTAAAACAAGTAATGTATTTTCCTATGTACGTGGCCAAAATATTTGCAGGTCGAAAACATAACCTTAGATACACGCGTCATTTAATATAGGTGGTTAGTTTATCTGACAAAAAGAACTAATTGAGCTTATCTTTAATGAGTCTTTCATATTAACATCTGCGTTGTAAAACAAAATTATGATCTTCTTCATAAAAATCAATAACCCTACAATTATTTGATGATGATTATTCCATTTTGTGCAATGATGCCATCGTCAATCCGGGATTTACAATCAGTTTTAAAAGAAATACTTCAAGTTGAAATAAAAATCTTATTTGTTTTTACGAAAGAAGTTCTACCAGCATTTGGAAAATATTTCATTTTTAATCGCCCTTAATACTAAAACGTTACTTGAAAAAACCAGTTCCACATAAATTCATAAAAAAAAGTACGAAAACAAACCTTTAAAACTAATTGATCGTTGTTTTTTATGAGTGAATGAAAATATCACTGAACAAATTTGTTTGTTCGAAGCGCTTTTCACGATTACTATTAGAACAATGCAAATGGATACATGTTAAACATACTTTAGTGCTTTCATTTCGATTTTTGTTATATATTGTTAAAGATGCATGCATTAATAATATACATTGTTTATTTTAGTCAGACTTAATCAATATTTTCACTTGATTGATCCTATGTTTACCCTTGAACAAATGCGTCGACATAATTGTCTTATTGGTTTGCTCTGTTTTAAGAGAGCAGGAATATCAATAACAAGTACAGTGCCAATCATTGAAACAAATAAAACTACAGCAATTAATCCAACACCTTTGGATGATTGTCGGTTGTCTGGGGCACTGGTCAGTCGTCGTATATTGCTTGATAATTGCGTTTTATCAACTAATAAGTGTTGTCTTATTTTGGTAATTTCCGGAGCTAATATCTCAAACAATTCAGCATGCGTGTAATTGTATAGGTTTTGTACATCAGCTGTGCATACACACTCACATGTATCTTCTACAAATAAAATATCTAAAATTAACAAGATTTTTGTTTTATAATTTACAAATAATCCGTCGCTATGCGTGTTTTTAAAACTGGTTAAAAACGAGAAATACAATCTCCGTATTATGCGTATGTGCGCGGATGTATGTTTTGTTTGTTAATAGTAGATTTATGTTTGACGAACCATGTTTTCTTTATACACATCTTGAATTCACTAATAAAATAGCGAATGGAAACGGGGATTGAGTCAAAGAGACAACATTCGATCACACAGTAGAACTATTCAATAGTTTAAGAAACAGTTATATTCAATGAATTTGTCTTCAGATAGATATTGAACAAAGGAGTTTTTGTTTTTAAATATTGTATGACACATATCCTGAATTGGCTTGTAAAACAACACCTTATACATTTCTGAAATCTTCTGAAGGGCTTTAACGGATTCACTTTTATCGGTAACGTTGGATTTTTTTTTTTGGTGAAAATGCATAGATTTTGTTTTAAATAAACAACCGAGAAGTATTTACAAGACATTGTGATTTCATTTACTTAAACCGATAAATAATTACAATGTACGTATTGTTAAACAGTTGGATACACGTTTTAAACTTCGTGATAATTCTGTAATTCGATAATTTTTACACTCTCGTCACCACATCTAAAATATTGTTAAAAAACACCGCACAATACCGGCAGTAAAACACTTTAATTCGGACAGAAGAATGTTTCCCTTACATATAGGACTGGAAGACCTCAAAAATGCTTTGTATCTTAAACAAAGCCTACTCCTCTAGTGACATCCGTCGTATATACGTACGGACAACTATGATCAGCGATGTAGCTACGCACCATACAAACTACGATGATGATGATGATGATGATGATGATAATGATGATGATGATGATCATCATCATCATCATCATCATCATCATCATCATCATCATCATCATCATCATCATCATCATCATCATCATCATCATCATCATCATCATCATCATCATCATCATCATCATCATCATTATTATTATTATTATTATTATTAATAGTTATTGCATTGCTATTCTCTTATCCAAAAGTAACTGGGATGACAAAATT